GAACTCAACAATTAGAAAATCATACCATAAGAATATTATATATAATCCATCCAATATACTTATAAATCTATGAAAATAATAATCACAAAAAGAAATTTCAGTATTACTGACAAACAAAATCTGGTAGTAATTGCAAAAAAATGATAATGCATTTTTATTGATGAAATATTTTTTATATTGGTCAAACAAGGAGGATAAAAAGTGGATTAATGAATTAGAAATCTCAATCTGCCTCATAAAAAATGGGTCAAAATAGATTGAGTGGTGTAACCCATTTTGTCACTCTTATTCAAAAGTAGTATGAGAATAATGTGTTTTTAATGTATAACTTTTAAAAAAAAAAGTTATTATAGATTATAATTATATATATCTTCTTATTAAAATCATATATATCAATTATTAACTAAATTTAAAATAATACACAATGTTTTAGTTTAATATATTAACTTCTTTTAGGCTAACAGGTATTACATTACTACCATTTACATGGATCAATTGTGCTAATTATAACCTTGTTTTAATTTTTTTTTATGTGAGTTGACCTCATGTTAGTGTCGTAATTAGGATTTTCATCTTATTACATGACAAATTAATAATGGGCTTGATGATAATAGTTGCAACAAAGGTGGGCCTTCAACATACTAGAGCAGAGAAGAACAAGGGCCTTTCCCAAGTTAATATATGGTACCAGTATTTAATAGCTAGCCCAACCATTAAGTACCTAGCTTGTGGCATACTCGGTGGCATAAAAAGTTGTGTAAGAAAAAATTACTAGTATTATGAAAACACTATCATGCATTATAACAAAATATATAATTAAGTTAAATATAAATGTTAAATGAAAAAATTTAGATCAAATTTAAAGTGTTGATATAACTCTCAGAATAAATAACTTATTTTTTTTCTTATGTAGAAAAAAAAAAAACTTTTTTCTTCAGAGATCATAAGAAACAAATTATGCGACACTCCTTTCAATTTAGATATTTCAATTATAATTAAATATTCAATTCACCTATTTTTTTTTTGTTAATTTAGTAAGCCACTTTAACAAAAAAAATTATGTTTTGTTTTAAACTAATGTATCAACTAATTTTTATCAAATATAACCTAATTATACTCCGATGAAAGGATTAAGATAGAAATTAATCCGATAAAAAAGGGAATTGTAAAGAAATAAAGGGCACAATTAAAAAATAATATAGTTTCAAGACAAACAAATATATATACAAGAAATTTTGTATATATTTATTTAAATATTACATTAATAACGTTAAATGCTACATTAATAATTTTCTCTCAAGTTTAGAAAATTTGAAAATAAATTCTGTATTAATTTGAAAATAAATTTAAAAAAGCTATAATTAATGTACTTATAAGCGAGATTGATAGTCCAACAATAATAAATTCAATACATAATAAAATTTAAATAAAATAAAATTTTATATGCATAATATATGATATATTTATAATTTTTATTATATACACATATTTAAACTTAAGTACTTTTAACATTTAAAAATGCATCAAATATAATACACAGACAAATTTAGCATGATTGAAGAATGAAATATTTCTACAATTGTAGTTAATTGAAATAATTTATTTACAAATTTATCGTTGACCATTTTTTTAAACTTAGTTTGCATTTTTTTTGTTCTGCATTATAGTAAGAATTGCTACTTTTTTGGTGATGAAACTCTGACATTATAGGTCAATTAAAAGGATATAAGAGTAAAAAATTTAGTGTTTGAAACTTGAGTAAACACAATTCAGTTCCAAGACAAAGAGCCCGAGACTGATAACTATTTAACTACTCTTCAATCCCTTTCCAATCTCACGTTTTTTTTCCACCACAGAAAATCCCTTCCCATAAAGAGACATATGAAATTAGAAAAACATTTTTATGTCTAAGTAAAAAACAAATATTTATTATTAATTTAATTATAATAATTAAGATGAAAACTTACCCTTCAAAAAAAAAAAAAGATGCAAACTTGAAATAATATAACAATTTAATTTAAACAATCATGTTATTTTAACATTCTTTTTATTCTAACCATTCGTACATTGAGATTTATTATTCTTATTCTCGGAATAAATTTTTCTCTAGTTATACATGTCACAACTTTCCTTGTATTTTATATTCTTGGTTTAAATGTGTTTTTGGTCTTTAAAGTATGGCAATTGTATAATTTTAATTTTTCAAATTTTAATTGAATAATTTTAGTCCTTCAAGTATCTTAATTATGTTATTTTAGTCCCTTAATTATTACAATTATATAATTTTAATCACTCAAGTATTGTAATTATACAATCTTTTATCTATTTAAGTTACATATATTGATAATATTAGCAAGTATATATATATATATATATATATATATATAAATAATAAATATATACTATCTAATACATGTACAAAAATTATAATATATGTAACTTAAATAAGTCAAAATTGTATAATTATGATAATTAAGGAACTAAAATTACTTAATCAAATTTAGGAAACCAAAATCGCATAATTACAATACAGTCAATACTTAACATATTAATATTGTTTAATTAAAATCTTAGAGATCAAAATCACACAACTATAATATTAGAAAGATAAAAAAAATACAATTAAACTTATATTCTTTCATACATATTCGTGTTGGAATTGAATAGAGGTCCTATTAAAATTTTTCAAAGAAGTTAGGAGTTAGTTTTGAGTCAGTAATATTTTATGAAATTGGGTCATTTTCAAATGGTTTTTTTTTTTTTTTAAAAGTATCTTATATGCCACTTTGGCCATCAAACCCAAATTTATGGTACTTACACTTGTAATAACTCCTATTATTTTTTTAAGATGTTATTAATTGAAGAGATTCCCAGTGCCATCTATGGTTATTCGGTGCCCCCTCATGTCTCTCAATTCTCAAATGAGTTTGGTATTTTAGGTTAGCCGTCAATTAATCTCCAACCTAACTTTTTCAACTGCCCTCTTTCCCTCACTCTCATCCCTCCTTAATTTAACTACTTTACTCATTACCCAATACCTATACATTCAAATATGCAGTATCCAATGTAAGAAAAATCAATCATAGCAGCCACAGGTAAAAGAAAAAAACAAAAACCAAGTATAAATGATGTGATATGATAAAATAAAAAAATAAAAAAAAAGAGAAAAAATATAAAACAAAGATAATACTAAATATAAGTGTATGAATAATATTATTTTAATGTGTAAACATTTTTTCTTATAACTCTTTTTATTAGCTAGTATTTTGATAGTATGAAATGACTTGTATAGGCAATGGAGTTGTTTGACTTGTATAGGCAAATAGCTTAGACTTTCTACTTGCTTCATAGTGTGCTCTAAGTGTTGTGCAAAATTTGTTCCCTCTTCAATTATTTAAAGACTATCTCTATGCAAGGCCCAAATGCAATACTTTTTTTTTTCACCGCCCCAATTTTAAATATTAAAATCACAACAACCTTTAGTATAAAAAAGGTGCAAACTAACACGAGCACTTTATGTTTTTTGGCTAGAGCGTCAATCACGGAGGAAAGAAAGAAAGCGTAATTGATTGGCTTTGAACAAATTCTCCATTTATTATGTCTTTGCAGATCAAACCAACAAATAATTGACATGCCATATATATAGTTTCTCTTGATTTGGGCATACTGGGGAAAGCCAATTTCACAACAACTCGACCAAAGTACACCTTGAAACAGAAATTGGCATATGAGTTGTCTAACTTAGCCTAAGTAAAAATTGAGTTTAATATTTGATCCAATTAATTATGTACTTTAAAATAATTAGTACAATGTTTTAATTACATTAATCACCTTCTATGAAGTTGTTTAATGTTGTACACAACACAACCCCAAATTTATGACTAGAAGAGGGTGACAAAGGGTAAGTTGTTTAATGAATCAACCGATTTATTAATTTCTTATTTCTTCATTGATAGTAGTTATCTATTTTAATAAATCATAATCCACATCATCAATACCTATTTCTCCAAGTGACAAGAGGTTGGTTCATCTTAAATTTCGGTTTGAGTGGAAGAGCTTTTATCCCATTAAATGAATTATTGTCCTGAAAAAATGGTCCTAGACTGCGATTTCGGCTGCAAAGTAAAGAATTTTAGGTTTTCCACGATCTCACCGCTGTAAATTTTTCGTAATGGTGACGAAATCGGGACCGCAATTTAAAACATTGCCACTCGCAACAACTAGAGTACAAATTAGTTCACCACCGCTATTTAAAACTTTGCCATCCACAACAACTGCGGTACAAATTAATTCACCAATAAACAAGATCAGGATGATTGGATACAAATTAGAAATATTTTTGAAAATTTATCTATCAAAAGCAAAAAAAAGTTTTTGATGAAAAAGTTCTTAAAAATATTTCTAAATTTGTATTAAAACAGACTTTAATTTCTGATGAGGAAGTTCTAATATTTTTCTGCATCAATGGCGTGGAACCTACAAGTGTTTAGATTCTAGGCAGCTTGTATAGGTTATAGCTAAATATCAGAAAATATGTTACTCCAATTAACCTGTTTTAATTAAAATGGATTGATACCCTAAACTTTGTCATACGAAAACTTTTTTGATGAACTGGTATCTGTTATTAGTCGATGGTCTCATCAGATGATCATATCAGTAACTAATGGAGAGTGATTTAGCTGTCTGAATTACTATATGTTACTCATTGCTAATGATTGACTTCATTTTGTCCACTATGGTGCAAAAGGGAAGGTATAACAAAAAGATGTTTATCACTCAACTTCAATAGTGTGGTGCTCCCTCTCAACACTGTTTGGAAATGGTATCTATGATCATCTATGTTGGGGGGTAAGGCAAGATGGACCACCACTAGTCCAATGGGAATTTTAAAATTAGTAAACTATGATTTTTTATTTGTCATGCTTTGCTTTCCCCTTGTCCTTAAAGAAAAAAGAAAAAAACAACCCGAAGATTGTTTTTTAGTGAAAAAAGAGAAACAATTTGTTGATAGCAAAAACTACAAATGCTTCATACTTCATGCCATATTTTCAAACCATCACATAGACTGTGCAATTCCAAAAGCAAGATTTCACAAGATTATCACTAAGTAAAACCCCTCAATAAATTATCCTAATATAGTACCCTTTATGATTTTTTGTAATTTATAAAGTAAAACATGGAGCACCCACTAAAACAAAAGCAAAATGAACTCTTCGCTGTAATAATTATTCAAGCTCAAGGCTCGAAGTCCTCTTGGTCATCTTCAAACACCTCTTGGTTCTTGTAACCTTCCATGGAGTTCTTGTTCTCATAGGAGTTCACATTGTTGTTTCCAAAGTAACCCCTGTTGTTGTACCAATTCTCGGAGTTCACTCCTCTGGATGAACCACCATAATGTGTTGGCTGGTTGTACTTATCATCAGAGTTAATGTCATAATAGTATTTTCCACCCTCCATAAACCTCGTGTCACTTAACCCCTGTCTCTCGCTGTTGTAATTGTTGTTGACAGATTTAGTTTTGTAGTACCTGTTGTTGTTGGCAGCATCATTGTTTTTATAGTAGTATCTCTCATTGGCAGCATTGTTGTTGTAGTAATATCCATTGTTGTTGTTGTTTTGATTTTCCATGGAGTTGTATCCTCCTTCTGTGTTGTACTTTGCGTCACTCAACTCATTTTGCTTACCAAATGCATCCTTGTTGTTGTAGAAGTAGTTGTTGTTGTTGTTGTAAGAAGTGTCAGTGAGTCTTGTTTCACTCAACTCATTTTGGTTGGTGTTATAGGCATCCTTGTTGAAGTTGTAGTAGTTGTTGTTGTTGGAGTATTTGGTGTTGGCGATGTCTTCTTCAGCTGTGGTAGTTTTGTATGGTTGGTAAGTGGTGGTGGTTGTGTAGGATGCAGCATTGCTTGTGGTAGTGGTGGGAGGGTGTAGACCAGTCTCATGACCATATAGACCATAGCTGTTTTCGGTCTCAGGGATGAAGGTTGGTTGTTGCTCTGGCTTGTTTACTACTGACCCTTCATTTTTAGGAACTTCTGTCTCTTTGAGGTTGTTGTTGTTGTTGAGAGGGGTGACTTTGCTGAAGAACTGGCTGTCTCTGGCCTTAACTTGGAGGGACAATAAAAGGGTTGTTAAGAATAGGAAAGGAATGAGTTTTGAGATGAGAGCCATGGATAGTGTGAAGGAGAGTAAGATGGTATGAACTATGTATACTGATGGGAAGCTTTGTTTGTCCCCAAGTTTCTTTATATAGAGGACCTTAAACCTTTCTTTCCCACCTCTCAATTTTTCCACTCTTCTAAGAGTAGGGTTTTGTGATGATTGTGGTCCCCACACGGGAAACTTTAGTTGATTGGAGTAAGCTTTTTTTTTTTTTTTTTGCTTATTTAGTCATATTATATTACTCTTGGCCGGACAAAGGAGTGGAAAATTCTTACTCTTTTGAGCAGAAGAATACATGCATTCTTTATGGGAAATAATAATTATAAAAGTCTTGATTTGAGTATTTAATATAACTGCAAACTCAAGTTTAAGACTACTAATTAACGTGGAGCGACATGACTGTTCATTTTTTTTTTTCCAGAAAGTGTTGAATGTAATTATAGTTACATATTATTAAAACAAGAGAATCAACATATATTTATAAATAGACACAAAATTTTAATTGGTAAAAGACTTTTTAAGTGATGATAAAAATAAAATTACGAAAATTTAGTTTTAAAATTGATAATATTATGCATGTACGATCACTCTAAATACACATCAGATAGGAACATTATTATGAATCGCAGATCTTGATAGGCAAAAAAGAATCTTTTCTATTTAACCCAGCTTTCTTGTTAGCCTTATCCAAGTTGAGCTGAACATTTAATTAACTATCATATTTCGTTACTTCTAAGCAAACCCATGATTGATTAGAGTTGCATCATAAGAGTGTACGAAAACAAGTGTAATATTACGTTTCTTCAGCTACTCTATTATAGTTCATATAAAAGAGTACAATAATATATGGTACGAAAATTAGTCCGAAAAAATTGCCACAACGAAACCAGTTTTATCTATATTAGAAGATAATTTTATTCAATTATCTCTCTTGAACAGTCATGTTGTCCTCTGCTGTTTGATGTTTATCCTTAAGATTTTTTGCATCCCTGTTTCGTACTAAATAATAGCATTGGTGTATAAAATCCAAAACCTGTCACACTGGTTAGTGCAAATAGCAGCATGAACTTATCCTATTGATAGAAAAAAGTCCGAAAATGAAGTTTCATATTTTAGCCTTTAGTGAAGAAATTAATCATAACCATACCCTATAACCCTGCCAAAGAAAATCCCGATGTAGATTACTACTGATAGTTGAAACTTAAGTGTGGGTTATTAAATGGTGGGGCAGATGATGGTGTTATGAAAAGTAGAAACTTGGTCGATGATTAAGGCACAAGGGTAGTATGGAAAACCAGGGCAAGGCATGGCCGAGTAATTATGCGTGAATTGTGGAGTGGGTGGGACATGAAAAATTGAAAATAATGGCATTTGGTGCACACACCATGTGCCCTCTATGCTTTGTCTAGATTATGGACTGCACCTACCCCTTTTACTACACACATAACTCATGACTCATGATCCTTACAAACGCGCTTGTTAAGTGCGCTTTTGTGAAAGTGCATGCCTTCCTTAGTCCCTCTCAATTCCAAGGTACATCAAGTCAGTGAAGGGTAGCCACTGAATTTTACTTATATAATTTATTTTTAAGGTAATCATTATAAAAATCAACACACTTTTAAGTAGAAGTATCGGAAAAATTTAGGAAAATTATGTGTTCAACAGAGACATAGTAGCCGTTTGGAAGAGTCAATGTTTCCTGATGTCAACAGGGCGAGGCATGTGAAAAATATTAGGGAGGTTGAATATGATGGTACCAAATTTTCGTGATTGAGGTCATAAAAAGAGCATGTAAGTTGGGGATCAGCTTCTAACTGCTTTGGTTGCTGTAGCCAAAATGGGAAAAGAAAAATCTGAGTAGGTTATCTCGAGGATCTTGCATGTTGTGTTTGGAACCGGAAGTTTCTACACAGAAGAAAATAAAATTCAAATCTGAATTTATTTGCTTTTTAATGGGAGATATCTTATCTTTTTCTTGAGGCTTTTTCTTTGTATGTTCATATATTCTAGTTGCTTTTTAGTTAATAGTTAGTTAAAAGGTAATAAAAGAAACTAGGGTAGGCATCTTAAGCCTCAGAAGAGAAAAGGGAAACTGACAGTAAAGAAACTTCCGTGTCTCATTTGTGTGTAGAACTGTGCCTGTCTACACCCAAGATCAATTTTTCTCTTGGTTATGACCCCGAAGAGTGTGAGAAGATGTACCTATAATCATGGTTGTCGATGAATTTATAAAGCAAAAGTGTAAAGTTCAATTCTTAAAGAAAAAAAAAAAAAGGATTAAAGTTCAGCTACTTGACTAGTTTAAAGCCCACCACCAAAAAAGAAAAGGGTAAATTAGTTAAGATGTTAAATTCTGTACTAGAAGAGGAAAGAAACAACACTGGTTTAGCAATGTCCGAAATATCTATGCTAAAATAGGGTAATTAACAAAACAATTGAGCAATTGCTTTGGGATCCAAATTTTCCCATTCATTGTTGCGTAACTTATTACGAGTTTAATTTTTTTTTCATGTCACTGATTTACTTTGTTAACAAATCATCTTAATTTTTTTGGTGATGAAGTTAAGACTAAAAAAGTCAAGAACTTCGTTACCCAAAAAAAATTATCTTAAAGCAAGGGTCTTGCAAACCATTTTCTCATAGCATTAATTAAGAAATCAATAAATTATTTCTTTTCATTGAACTTATATTAAGAATTAAGGAGTGTATTGTTACACTTTTTAGTATGGGTATTGATCAACATTTTTAAAGGATTCTTATATAATTGACATATTCTTCTGTTTTCTTTTATAAAAAAACACATATATATATATAATAAAGAAATTAGTTAATTACATTAAATTTTACTAGTTTAAAAATATATTTCCTAAATTAAATTTGTTATAAATGTTAAAAAAGTGGAATGACATTTTTAGGAAGAGTATATGATTGAATGATAGCATAAAAAAGTTTTATATTATTAATAAATTTTAATTAAATTCACTTATTATTAATAGTTTTCACGAGAAATTCTAGGATTTTAACATATTCTTTTGAACGCATTATTTATTATTGACTACATATATTAAAAATCACAATTTTTTTATAGATCAAACTACTTATTTAATGAATCTTTCTTCTCATTTTGTACGTTTTTTTTAAGTATATTGATAGAAATTTGATTTTCTTATCGTATGAAGAAAACTTTCATGAGAGACACAAAACTCACTTTTAAAGTCTTTAATAATCTTCATCAAAAAAAAATTAGTCTTAGATTATCGATTGAGGAATATTCTTGGTTCACTGTTAAAAAAAAAAGTGTAGCATGCACTCTCCATATTCCAATTTTCTTCTTATGAAGAAAACTTTGATGAGAGGGACAAAATTCATTTTTGAAATCTTTATTGATCTTTGAAAAGAATTAGTCTTCGACTATCGATTAAGAGATATTTTTTATTCACATTTTAAAAAGTGTGTTGCATGCACTCTTTATATTCCAATTGTTCCTTATTATATTTATCATATACCCCCTTCAATCTTTAATTTAAATATAAACAATTTATGTTCATTGTTTCAAAATTCATGCAAATCTTAAATATTTATATTCTATTTAATAAAGTAATTTTAAAAATACTTTTCATTTAATTGAGATTTAATTTTTTAATAATAGTTTTAGTTAAATATCAAATTCCCATGAAGATTAATTTAAAATTTATATTTTAAATGTGATTAATAAAATTTAATAATGTTAACCATGGCATGAATTATTTTCTCCTATTTTTCAAGATAGGAAAAGGGTACATATTCTGAAAAGAAGGAAGAGGATTTTAAGAAGTAAATGAAAACCTAACATTAATTAGCGATACATAATTACGAAGGAGCCATAGAAGCATGAAGGTTAAATAAAGACAACTTAGTTCTTTTTGTTAATTACTATTACCATTTCTAAAGTTAGATAACTTTTACAATATTTGTTTTCTATTTTTTTTCACAAAACTTCAACCTCAATATTTTCTTTGCAAAAAACATTTAGCTCTATGGTTTTCTCTCTCTTATATCTTTAAGTGCGGTGAAAAGAATTAGTACAAAATTATTTTAATTAACTAGTAATTTTGAGTTTAAATATTAAATATGCACATATTTTAAATATTCAGAAAAAGAACTTACCTATAATAATTTTATTTGACTTAAACATTTTCTTTTATGTGAAAGATATATTTTATGTAAAAAAATATATTTATCTCGTTGTATGTATTAAATAAGTTGAGCATATATAAAAATATAAAATTTGCACATGACATGATCACGTGAGAAATTCCATCCTCGTGTAATGAACATATATGACAAATTATTCTTTCTAAATTAATGACAAGAAAATTCAACCATCTTACATTTTTCCATATATCACAAAAAAGTGATTGTTTTGGTAGAAACAGAGGAATGATTTGAAGTAAAATAAATATTCATCCGTCAAGTAAAAAAATTTCTATGAAAAATATGAAATCAATAAAACGGCACATGAAAACATGTATTTTGATTTTGATTTGTAATATTCATGTGTTGTCTCTTGTGGTAGAAATGTAATAGTGTGATATGTTGTAGAGGAACTCACTTGTGTTCAGAGTTCAGACATAAACTAATCTCTTTCCGTATTTTTGTTTTCCCTTTTACCCTTTATTCTTCTTGGAGCAAGAGAAATAGAATGCGCAATTGACGGAACTTCCATTACTTTCTGCTGTCTTTCCAAAAGGAATAATTTAAAAAAAAATAAATTAAAGAGGGCGGAAGAGAAGAGAAGAGAAGATATAGCAAAGTAAAAGATTCTTAAATTATAAACGAAGTCTAAGATATGAAGGGTTGCATTTAATTTTATTTCACATGAGTATATTATATAATTATAATGCTTTCGTCAAAACTTCTTTTAGAATGAATTCATCATATTTCGTCAAAACTACTAATTTTCCTCATTTTCTTACCACCCACCTTTTGGATTACCATTCTTTAGTGATGTGTTAAACCACAAATCAAATACGCTAAACAGCATTTGATGTGTTAAACTATAATTCAAGTACGCTAAAGAATACAGCTGTTAGAAAAATGAAAATTGTTGCTTTTGTCAATCTGAGAGTCACACTGTATAATTGGAATTATTAGAGGACATACTTGAACAGTACGTGTTCATATAACCTACACCTAAAGCCCTTACACATTATTATGTTAAAAGATTATTGCCACCATTATGCAATACAAAAAACAATTAAAGATTACTGTCGTATTAGATTGAAACTAATAATCTTTTAAAATAACGTGTAAGGGTTTTATGAACATATTTCGTATTATTTTTGTTGGAAGCAAGAAGCAAACTTCTAAATTATTTTTGTTGGATTATTGATTGTATAATAATATTGATTTTTCTATATATAAGAAAATTAAGAATCTACGCAATGGCGGGTTTATATCTATTGTACACCATTAGTCTAGTCAACCATAAAACTGAGAAGCCGTGACATGACTAAGAGATAATGTACCTTTTAAAGCTGCAATACAGAAAAAATGTAATGCAGCCTTAAAAATGAAAGTTTTAATAAGAAGAATCTTCAGAGACATCCGAGTTAGAGATTTCTTGATTCACAATTCTATTTGCATGTACCATCTGAACCCTCGCTCATAACATCTGCCTCTGAATCCTCCTCTTCAATGCCAATCTCATTACTATTCCCGTTGTTGTTGTCATTGTCATCTTCAGAAGCTTCCACATCTTCATCACTCATTCCAACTAAATCCCTACTCCATCTGCTGGGAGTGCCATTATAACCTATTTCCCAGTTGCCTTGATCATATTCCACAGCTTGACCATTGTCATCAGATTCCATTGCTTGGACATTGTCATCAGATTCAACCTCTTCGGTGTTGTTACTGATGTTAGCAGCCCCCATGTGGATGGGAGTCATGGGACTTGCCTTATCATCATTCAAATCCTCATCCAAGCTTCTCAATGATTCTCTACCAATACTAGAGCTACGATTGGCACCCTTATGGCCCAGCAACAAGTCTTCAGTAGCCCTCTCCCTAGCCCTTCTTTTCTTGACTGTTTGGCGACCACGTCCACCAACTTGTCCTTCTGATCCTGTTCTCTGCTGTTTTATTCTTTGATTTAGGCTTCTAGCAACCTTAGCATTACGATGGCCACTATCTTGTTTTCTTTTTGACAACTTTTTACCCCGTCCTTTATCACAACTCCCTTGTTCTCCTTGTTTATTGTTACTTTGCACAATTTTCACAGGAGCAGATCTAACTTTCATGAATTCATCATTGTCCAAGTCTGCTCGTCCAACCACTTTTCTAGATTTAGATGGATTATATCTTGAAGGAAGCTTCTGTAAGAAAACAAAGCAAGTTAGTTGGCTAGTGAACATTAGATTAACCCCACAATTTTCCAGAAAAAACAGCCACACCTTGTCCCAACAAAAGGGACATGTACATCACAAAACTTGACATCCAATCTGCATGGTGAATGTATAGGACAAAATAGTTCATCTTCATTATTTTCAGACAAAAATATAAAATAGTAGCAAAACTCATAGCAAAACTTTCATGGTAAGAGGAGTGAGCATGTAGCAACACTCTTAACACACTACTTCGATTCAAGCACACATTCTATATAAGTTCAAATTTATTGAAAATTACAACATCGTGAGAGTTTATTAAATAAGGTGTGAGATAAAAAATTCTGATCTCCAATAAATTTAAACCAATAGGAGTGAATTCAAAAAAGCGTGTGGGTGTTTCTAGCATTTCTCTTCATGTTAATACCAAATTATAAGTTTGAGAGCAAAAGCACTTGACTAATTAAAAACTAGGAAAAATAAAAATAGACTCACTGTGTATTCTCTATCATCTTTCTTCTCACAAGGCTCAGGTCTCTCACGTAGTACGTAGACAATGGATGCATCAAACTCAAAAAGTCTGAGAGACACGGCTGAAGTGGTCAGTGGAACCCATGGAAGTACAACAATTGATTCAGGATCGGTAGAGGTCTGTGCAACACTCTTTGACATAGAGTTCAACCCCAACTGTTCCCCTGTTGTAGAGAAGGTTGATGATAAAAAGTTTCGCTTCAATGCTCTCTCAAGTAGTGTAAATATCTGAAAAATGATTGTTAAGTTTAGAAATCACTTGGCAGCCTTGATTCTTAATTTTTAAAATGTAAAGAAAGGAAGATAAAATTTTAATTAAAATGGCAAACCTGTAGCAATTCCTCAACAGAAGATGATTTGCTCAACTTCACACTCCAAGGCCTCCTAATATCTTCTGTCCAATTTGATTGAAATGCTTCAGGTGGAACAGATACCTGTAACTCAGAGCGTGAATATAATATATCCCTCAAAAGAAATGTCAACATTCTAAAATTAAATTAAGAAACCAAAATAGGCTCGAGGTTAAGAAAGTAAAGCACACCATCAACTCACCTCAATAAAAGCTAGCAGAGCCTTGAGTAATCTTGTCTGCAAAGGAAGAGAATAATCCAAAACAAAAACATCTTTTGAAAATTTGTCTCCACATTGAAATGCATGTTTAGAAAAATTAAATCCATTATTTGAGGGAAAAGACCGGTGGCAACAACTACAATGGGAGTCTTCAAAGAAATAAGGGTTGAGACAAATATCACAGATGACAACCTGAGGTTTGCATCTCTTTTTCCCATATTTCATTGCACACAATATTGATGAGCTATAGCATTCTTTCCACATCCACTTTTGAAAATCTTGGTACCTTCTCAAGGCAGATTTCTTCTCACTCTCGCTTTTCCCAAGCTCGATTTTGAAGGATGATGAAGTTTCTAAAGTGTCAAAGTTCAATCCACAAAGGGTACTGCTAGGACTGTCAGATTCAGTGTGGCCATCGGAACTGGAATCTGTTTCATCAACTTCATTTTTAACAGATGTTTCACCTCTGATTTTGGAACATTGTGTATTCTTGCAAACATTTTGTTTAAAGGAAGTCTCGACCTTTTGCAACATTAGACGCAAATGAGATTCCCTGATCCCGCGTGAATCAAGTGAATTCAGAAGCACATCAAAGGCCTGTAGAGAATTAGTTTAATAAATTATAACAATTAATACAAATCATAAAGCCACATTAAATTCCCATAAATAAATAAAAAGCAACAAAGATTATTCAATAACATTTCCATCTTTGGCTAGCCAATAAGTTAAAATTATATAAGAATTGAACTTTGGAAAGATGCAAAAAGGTTAGATATTGATGGATAATGTAAAGCTAAAATAGGATGAAATGAGTTTAACATGATCCTTTAGGAACCGGACCAGACCAATTAATCTGACTGGTTTTATCATAAACCAGACCCCATGCCTTGGGTAGTTCAGTTGGGCCATATAGAAGCAACCAATTCAAAAACCAATGATAATCATTGAACTTCCAAAAGCCAATAAACCACACAAAACCAGACTGTTTGCTTATAAACAGATTCTTTGCTAATTGCTGTTAGAAAATGCTTGAACTTGGCTGTGCAAGACTCAAACCCCTAAATGAAACTCTCCAGGTTAATGAGCAAACCATTTCTATCACTTAATCCAGTACATGTCTTTTGTTATTATATGCTTTACAATAACATTTGTAATAAGTATTCAACTTGTAATACAGACACACTGACATAGAATTTTGACCATCACTTAATCATTAATCCATGAATCAATGCTTTCATTGATTCAATGACTAGTCCAATTTTACAGTGGAAAGGTGTCTATTGAAGTCAGGAATTAGTTGATCAGAACAACAAGGATCACCATATAGGGGAAATAAGAAAGAAAAAGGCAACTAGAGCACACACAATTTACCTCCTCAGTATCAATAAGCCTCCAATTGCCATCATGGTATTCAACAAAAATTCTGCCAGAGCCAGGATCGTTGGAAGAAGCTGATGCAACAAATTGCCAATAACGGTTATGTCTGCGATCTTGCCCAAGGGGTAAGGATCTATAGACATACATCTCCTCTGCTATGTGGGAAATATAAGATTTCAACTGAGAACGTGACCTTTTTGAATATTGTGCAAATGACTGAGTGTGATGGATATCTGAACTAGTGTAGAGATCTTGGAGTGAAGAGTGCTTTTCAATAGACAGGCTCTGTATACTAGAAGCTGCCTTTTGATTTTCAGCAAAGCTGGGAGAGGGCACGTATTTATTATTGTTGCTAATATTAATTCCAAGCAATGGGCTTTGGTTGCCCTCCAAGGTAGGACAAGAGTTTTGTATTTCAACTTTATTCCCATTGATACATGGAAAATCTGATTTAAAGAAAACATCATCTCTTAGACAAAGTTTATCTAGTTGTGCTTCTGCCCACATTTGTTTCTTCAGAGCATTTGCTGCTTCTAAACGTTCCTGAACAACTCCTCATGTCAATTTGATAAACAAAACACAAAAATTAACTTAAGGACATACATTATATGGAATAAAGTTTACCTCGAGAACAACACGGATTGAACTCCCTTCATTTGCCACATCAACCAACACAACAAGGGCATTTAGACGCTCTTCTACACTAAGATCAGAATATTCTCCTTCCGCAAGCCCTTGAACCCATGACTCTCCAGGCTTGCTTTCATCAATTTCCATATTATCTTCACCAAGATTTCCAACATTAAGATCTTCACAAGCACCAGGTTGTCTAGTGACGGCAATTGGAGCATCAGCATTTTTGGAACCATTCTTAGGACGTGTTGACCTCCCTTCATTTGCCCCAGCAGCCAACACAACAAGGGCATTTAGTCGCTCTTCTACACTAAGATCAGAATATTCTCCTTCCGCAAGCCCTTGAACCCATGACTCTCCAGGCTTGCTTTCATCAATTTCCATATTATCTTCACCAAGATTTCCAACATTAAGATCTTCACAAGCACCAGGTTGTCTAGTGACGGCAATTGGAGCATCAGCATTTTTGGAACCATTCTTAGGAAGATAAGGTAGATCCTTGTCAAACTCACTTTGAAGTTCAACATCATGATCCAAATTTTCTTTTCCATTTGAAGTTAAATTGTCACATTGTTCAGATGTTTTGTTAGCACTTGACAGACTTAAATCAACTTCAGGATCCTCATCAATTTCATCACTTTCTGACTCTTCTCTTTCAACATCATCAGCATCCTCCCCAGCTAGAAACCCATTTTCATAAATTTGAATTTTCTTCCTTGCTTCTGAAAGAATGGACTCGGCATCAGCAGGATCTTTTCTAAAGGCTTTACGTAAACAATATGTTGATGGAGCTATTCTTTTAAAAAGCTTGACATCTCTTGATAAAGCAACAGAAATTGATGCCTCAGGTGTCTTGCTGGTTGTCAGATCTCGAAGACCAGATATCTGAAAGGTAAAGAGACATAGGTAGTTAAGACTAAAGAACAAACCTGTCAATATGAAGATCACTTAATACGGACATATGCAACTCACCTGAATTTTTTCAGCAAGCTCTAGTATTGTCAATCCCTTTTTATCCTCAAGTGAGAGAACATGAAATGCTGCAAACTTAACTGTACCAGGAGTTAATCGATGTCTAGATCTTCGAGGGGCTAACAGACCTTTCTCATGCATTTTTGCAAAAGCATTTTCAGCAGCTGAACCATTACGAAGTGTAGATATGATATCTTCACAATTCCTGCCCTGTATTTACATATACATTTTGATCCATTTATTCAATACAATAACATTAAAAGCATTTTTTTTTATTAAAATGCATGCAAAACAAATTTGTCAGCAAAACATTTTGAGTGTGTTTGGGAAAGCTGTGAAAATTAAGATGCTTGCTGTAAAGTGATTTTAAGATATTTTATTTCATTTGGATATAACAAGAAAATAAGGTTATCAATAGCGGATAACGGTCTATGGCGGTGAGGCCGAAAATCCTTTATAACTCTATGGCGGACGCCATAACGGGAAAAAAAAATACATCTATATATATATATATAGATATACTTATATACAAAGAAAACAACAAAATAAATAACAAGCAACAAAACTAAATTAAAAGCAACATAATATCAACTTAAATATCATAACAACAATACCATAATTCATTAAGAAAGGATTCAAAGGAGTAGGAAAAACTAAAAGAAGAAGAAGGATTAAAACTGAAAAAAAAGGAGAATTAAAACTGAAAAAATAAAAGATAGAGGAAGATTAAAACTGAAAAGTAAAAAAAAGAGGATTAAAACTGGAAAAAAAAATGAGAACTAAAACTGAAAAAATAAAAGCAGGAGGAGGATTAAAATTGAAAAAAAAAGAGGATTAAAACTGAAAAAAAAAAATGTTAAATTTTAAGTTTATCTATGTCGCCGGAGTTGCTCGCCGGAGTGCTGGGCCACCACGGTTCAAGTCGCCGACCAGCAAGGGGACCAAGGGACGGTGAACGACAGTGGTTAGGGGTAGTTTCAACTTCCGTAAGTGTTGTTCACGCGTCGTGGACCCATGGTTGCTCGCCGGAGTGGTGGGCCATCGCGGTTCAGATGGTCGGTCGCAAAGGTGATCAGAGAGCGGCGATCGAAGTTAAACGAAGGTGACCAGAGAGGTTTAAAACCTAGGGCAGATTGTGCGACTGTGCGTGACCTCTTCCAAGTGCAGAACTTCGCGCTACTGAGGGAGAAGTGAGTCGAGCCAAAAAAAAATTAGGGCTCACTCTATTTGGGCCTGTTTTGAAGCCCAAAAATAGGTTTTTTTATAAATAAAAAAAAACCCTTCATGACCTCCATAAAGCTTCACGGCGCCATGACCATGGCGGGCGCCATATCGGAAATGGCAGACACCGCCATAAACCTTCATAAAATGGATGGCGAATGGCGGTTTGGACCTGAACCGCGACGTTTTTCCTTTATAACGGCGTTATAACGGATATTTGAGAACATTGGAAAATCAAGTTTTATATAGTAAATTAGCTTAAAAGAAAAAAAGCTATCGAAAAATAATCATTGACCTCAAATTTTCAGCTTCTTAAAAACAGGTGATTTTCCACAAAAAAAAGCTTTTTGCAAATTTAAGATGTTGTCTAAACATATAGCTTATTTTTAAAACATTTTTTTTCCTAAAAAGAAAACAACTGAAATATATGATTATAAGTTGTTCCAAACATTCTCTTAATGGTAACAATTAACAAAAGTCTACAAAGGTTCAAGGTGAACAAATTAGCTTATAGCAAGTTATAATAAATCAGCATATTGAAATGATATCTTAATTGTATTTGTAACATAGTATGTTGGTTTAGAGCTTAGTGAATGCTAGAGAGGAGAGTATATAAGATTTTCTTTGAGAAGGGAGCCTTATTAGCTCATTCTGAAATAAAACTTAGAGAGAAGTTTTAGAGAGACTCTGGGTCCATAAGCTCCTTTCTCTCTCAAATTTCTCTGATTTATTCTTCTTCTTCTATAGATCACTAACTTCTTCTGTCTTTTCTTGGAATTCAGGCTAGGAAGCTTGTTTTCAAAAGATTGATTTTCACAGGTAGAGTTTCAGGAGAAATTCTTCTTCTTCTCAAATTCTTGGCAGTTTAGAGCTAATCTCCAGGTGAAAGAAGCTAGAATGTAGGTTGTTTGGTTGCATGTGAGTTTAAGAACTCAATTGATGCATGAATTTTGAGAATCCAAGGTTGAATTGAAGGAATTGTTTATTTTTCCGGGTTTTGGGAAAAATGGGGTTTTTGGTGATTTTGATGCATCGAGTGGGTACATGTTGAATCTGGGAACGTTTTTGAATTGTATAGGGTTTAAATATTATATCGCATGGATTGCATGTGGTGGAAATCTTCTGATTTTCAGGTTTTTATGAAATTTTTTAAGATTTGGAGGCTGCTGTTTGAATTTGTGTCGGGCGCATGTTCTTGGCATCGAGCGTGCATTCGTCAAAGGCAACCATTTTAAATTCACGCCAGACGTGAGGTTAGTCGCACCGGGCGCGAATTAAGATAAGAGTCTCTGGATGAGTCACGCTGGGCATGAAGAGAACCACGTCGAGCGCGATATCAGATAGTGACCCTGTTTGGCATTTTACTGATATGGCGTCGGGCGCAGGGTGGGTGCGCCTGGCGTGGAGACCCTTGGAGGTCTCTGTTTGATTTGGCACCGGGCACAGGGTAGGCGCGCCGGGTGTGGAGACTCTTGTGAGTCTCTGTTTGAATGACGTCGGGCACGAGCCAATTGCGCCAGGCGTGAATGAGCCTTAAAGCTCTCGGGGTTGGATGTTAGGCCGGGCGCAAAATGGATGCGTCGGGGCGTGAATATGCTTAATGATTTGGTTAAATTGCTAAGTTGCCTGATGAAGATGAGTTGAGTATTTGTTGACTTAAGTTGTTTATATGTTGTGTAATTGATGAAACTAAGTTGTTTACATGTTTATTGTTGAATTATGAATAAGTCGAAATGTATAAGTTGAAGTAGTCTATTGTTGTAAAGTTGATGTTATGATGCCTATTGTTGTAAAGTTGTAAAGTTGGGGACATATGGTGAAGATATATGTCCTATGTTGAGATACATAGTACTAAGGTGATAAGTTGAAAGTTATTTTTAAAGTTGAATCCCTTCGTACTGTGTGGGCGGCATGGAAGTAGTCGATCCATGACATGGTTGAATGACTAATTTGAGTAAGGTATCTAGTTAGAGATGTAGTCTTTGACTAGGTACTGGAGGGTGCATGGTACTTGGAGGGCAGTGGGTGGGCTAACTCCATATGTGGATTGGTGATGCAAGCCAAGGCCGTGGTGGGCCCATATCCAAACCCTTCTGCCTTGATAGTAGTAATGGACCTCCGAGTCAGAGTGACACACCTGAGAAATCGTCTATTGTTATCTATACTTGGTTCTCTTCGGAGTTCCTAACGATGCCCTATACCTGACCTGATTAAGATAAGTCAAACGTTGGATTCGGTAGGGTTTATGCCACCTAGACTACTCAACCTTAGTTGTTGGAGATCTCCTAGTTGTATATGTGTGACGACGTATTAGTTGATGTTGCATGTGTTGTTGCATTCAAATTTCATATAAAGTTGTATGATTGAGCTCATAGTTGAGCTATTATGATAAACTGTGTGGTTGTGTTGTGATGATGATTGGACGAATGAGTAGTATAATATTGCCCTATACTTGTATGGTTGTTTATTGAACTCTAGCTTATCCTTCTGTTTCCATATGGATGGACTGCGATGATCATACTGTGTGGGAGCAGATCAGGACTAGGTTGGAGTTGGTTGCTACGACCACCGCTAGAAGTAAAATTTTGTTCCTGGTAGTAGTCAATCCCGGATAGCGGCGCGGAGCGATCGACCCTAAAACTGGGATAGCGGGATGACGCGGAGCAGGATAACCGCTATTTTAATATTAATTTATATATATTAAATAGAATCAGAAATTAAAAAAAGATAAGCTGCTGAAATAGAAATAGAAAAGCAGTTCAATTAATAAAAAAAATTTTAAAAAATTGTTGAATTATATTTAATCAGAAAACAAATCTGATAAATTAAATTTAATAAAAAATTAAAAATACAATTTTCTGAAATTAAAAATAAAATTTTCTGAATTAAATTTAATCAGAAATTAAAAATAAAATCAGCTGAATTAAATTTAATCAGAAATTAAAAATAAAATTTACTGAATTAAATTTAATTAGAAATTAAAAATAAAATTTGCTGAATTAAATTTAATCAGAAACTAAAAATAAAATTTGTTGAATTAAATTTAATCAGAATTTAAAAATAAAATTTGTTGAATTAAATTTAATCAGAAATTAAAAAAAAAATAATAATTTAATAAAAAATTAAAAAACAAATTATGTTGCAATGTACATAAAGGAGAGAATACTCGAAGGAGAAGACGAACTAAGCGAGGCGCGTCGGAGCTTGCGGCCACGTCGGAGCTGGAGGCGCGTCGGACCGGGAGGCGCGTCGGAGTTGGAGGTGCGTCGGAGCTGAAGGCGCGTCGGCGACGGAGGTGCGTCAGAGCCGGAGTTCGTCGGAACTGCACACACGATCGCCAGAGAAGAAGAAACAATCTGAGAGGGAGAGACGAGAGAGGGCTGCGACAATTGAAATCGCGAGAGGGAAAGGGAGACTTAGGGCAAAAAAAGCCCCATTGAAAAGACTGACTTACCCTTAATGAAGGGTAAGTCGAAATCGCGCCCGCGATTCCGCGATTTGTGCCGCTCCGCTCCGCCT